GTAATATTTGTTTTCTTAAGTTTAGTAGGAGATGTCTATAAAGCTTTCCGATGTACATTTCACAACCGCACAGTGAACTAAAGAAGGTATAAAGAACAACTGGTATGCCCTTAGTTTCGGTTATAATGTGTTTATGAGTAAAATAAATTAGTAAACTCCACACCTATGTATACCCCATACGGCTACCATTCCTTTGTAAAAACTTGTATAACTCGCGGGTTATATGCGCGGAAAATACGGTAGTTAAACTACGCCTCGTTTTGAGAACGACTGTAGAAAATATGCAATGGAATAAGAGTTGACACACTTGTTGCTACACAAGTGTTAAACAAAACAAGTTTAGAGACAAATCTAGGTCGCGTTATGGACACACGAAACAAAAGCCATTTTTTCTCACTCTTTTACCATTGAAGCCTCCCGCCGCCTCTTGGACCAGAAAATTTACTTCTGGTATCTGTATCTGTGTCCATCTTTGGTCCTGATCTCTCTTAGATCGAATAATAGGCTTACGTGATCAATCATGGATTCCTATAAATGTTGTAAATTTAAGTGTATTGAATTTTACTTAATTCTTTTTTTTTTTAAATCTTTAAATTACAGATTAGTGAAAAAATTCAGGCCTTAAAAAAATATTATTACATAAAATCTGATTATTAATCATGTTGCGATCTAGCATAAAGCAGTGCTGAAGAATTAGATTACGTCTTACCAATGGTTACAGCTTACAACAGAGTGAGTTCCCCTTTTAGCTTACAAAAAATATATAAATAAAAATCACATTTTTACTTAGATACTTTTCATCATCCTAGTAACGATATTATAATAATTGTGGCACACTCACTCTTGTACACCCTGTGGTATTTTATGTTTTATTGAATTGAAAAAAAAAAAGATTTTTTAAAGTATTTAGATTCCGAAGTATAGAAATAAAAATGTGTTTCTTTTTTTTATATTATTTTTATCAACCAATTTTCTAAATTAAAACCAAACATCATTAATTTCATTCCATTCCATTTGAAGTAATCGAATGAGATTAAAACATATATTTAAACAAAAAAATTAAAGTATTATAAAATCTTTGTAGATGGATATTGTATATAAATGACAGCACTATATGCACGATGAATACATATATTGTTTTTTAAAAACACGTGAACAGAATAAAATGCATACCTTTGCATCTCAAATTCTTATCGTGACAAGAATTTTTCGACAATCCACATCAACGAATAAAGTAAACAAAATATACATTTTTAAATAAAATAACATATTTTCTCTCTTTGAAGATTTCAAAGTAAAATCTAATTCCTCGAAAGATAGGAAAGCTATATGTGTGAATAAAAAGCTTGAAACAACCCTGGTTAAAAATGGATGGACTTTTAAGGATACACAGGCAGAGCTATATACAAGGAAATGACCATGCCAAACAATCTGGACAGCATTAACTTCCTTCCCTGCAAAGAGCAATCTACAATCTTCCAACTAAGGACAGGACACACACCTCTGTTAAATTACCATCTTAACAAAATAAATTCCACACAACTCCCCCTTTGTAGACAGTACGCCCGCCCTTATGAAACTGTAAACCATATTGTTTTTGAAAGCCCCTTCCTAATCCACCTTAGACAGACCCTACTTCCACTCCAGCCCAACATAACCAACACTCTGCACGGCAGTGCTGAACAACTTATAAAAACAGCACTCTATTTTTCCTTGGCACAGTCTGCAATAGAGCTTAACAGCTCAGCAGCAAAAATGTGACTACAGGAAGATGAAGAGTTTGAATTTTAAAAATTAAAAATATTCAGTCAAAAATGTTTGTACAAAATCTCGACATTTAAGTAAATGAAATACGTTGTTAAAAAAGATCGAGTAATTTGTTTAAATTATTCGATATTTCCAGAAATAAAGAAAACAAGATTACATAGAGGCGGCCCCTGTGGTAGACGGATCCCTGTCGGATCCGCATATTCGCTGGTCGACTGAGGATGGCATCGAGCAGGGTATGAAACCGAGACCGTAGAGATTATCAGTCCTGCGCGCTAACCACACGACCAGACATTGCTCTTAATCTAATGACAAACTGGTTACAAACTAATAGCCTACTATTGATAATATACCTACACATTTCGTAATGACAACTACCGGATATTTACAATATGTCAGAAGAGCGATTTTAGATAATCTTTTGATATTGAGCATTTTCATTTAGGCCTAAATGGAACTAGAATGAGGATGTAGATCTACCTAAATTAAACTATTAATTTAGCACTCTCAATATCTATATCTACTAGATCCTGATATAAAATATATATTTGGAATAATGTAGATGTAATTTAGATAAGATTTATATTAAAAAAACACTAGATAATCAATTAATAGACTAATTGCAATATGAAATATTAAAATAGTAAATTAGTTTTAGTATTTTATAACATTGCAATATTGACATATTGACAATCTAGACTTTTGAAAAAAATCTACACTTTAAGCCTAGAAATTAAAATTATAGATCTTGATCTAGTCTAAATCATGGCTGTCTGGTAGTGCGGTTTGCGCTCTGGACTGTCGTTTGGATTCATCGATGATCCCAGGTTCAAACCCTGCCCGTTCCCATCCCCCGTCGTCCTACGGGATGTTTGTACTACAACTCTGAAGGAACATCCGAAACATGTAAAACAACAAACATTCTAAACTAGACCAAAAAATTTTAGATCTAGATTCTATAATGATTTTAATTAGAACTTAAGTTTTAAAAATCTAGCTCTATTGTAAGAAAAAAAATCTAGATCTAGTGTAAAAAATCTAGCTCTAGTGTAAAAAAATATCTACATCTAATGTAAAAAATCTAGATTAGATCTAAATCTAACTATTACGTCTTTTTAAAATGCGAATCACATTACGAGGTATAATAAACATGACTATACCGAGTTGTTTTAGCATTTAAAGAATTTATTCCATATGACGTCAAAGAAAAAAATCCATTACATCACACGTCCTAGTTAGACTAAAAAATGTCATCTATACGAGCAGCTTGTCGAGGGATCATAGACATTGGTGCACCGAGCTTATTCTTTTAGCATTTCATTTAAAGAATTAACTCCATACAGGGCCGCCGCGAGGGTTGTGGCCGCTTGTGTGTGGAATTTTAAAATGCCGCCCACCCCCCACCCCCTTTTTTTTTTCTTCAAAAAAAAAATCCTGTAAGACTGAGTTGGACACTTTTAATTTAAATGTATTTTTTTGTAGACCATTCCATTTTTTCCTATCATATTCGCACCGTTGTTGTACCCCTCAAGTACAACTATGAATCATGCATTAAGAACAATTTCGGACATATGTGCCTACAGAAATGTGACATTTTGGTTCTTTGTGAATAACACTAAAAACTGATCTCGTTCTGACTATACAGTTATGCTCCTGATTTGCGACGATTTTAATTGATGAACTTCTGCTGGTATATTACAATGAACAACGTAAATGAGCATGATCTACATACAGTTTCTAGATAACTTTGACTGCTCAACAATGTTACATATTATGGTCTGGACGTGGATATGATAACTTCCTTTGTTTTTGTTTTTTTAATTAAAGTATAATCCGAAAAAAGCTCGAAATACAAAAGCCATTGACAGTGGAACTTTTTCAACGTTCCGTAGATGTTCATAATAATCATCACGATTGTATTTTGGAGAGATGTGCATTGTATCCACAATCATCTGGCATACACGGATTCAGAGTTGACTACAAATTTATCCAACAAATGAAGCAACTCAGCGCTGAATATTTTCATGAGTCTAATACAAAGTATATCATCCAAAGTACAAGTCACTTATACAATGACTTGAAATAAAACATAGATTGAAGCAATGATTCTCACATTCCCTGGTGGCGACTCCCTATTATAGATAACAACATTTTTGTTCGAGCTTCCTTTAGAAGCTGGAGCTCAGAGGAGCAATTTAGGCTTTCACTGTGAGGTCCCAGAGTTTTTTTTTAAAAGAATCTAATAAAAAAGAAAAGAAACTTAGTCACAATTATAAGGTTTTATTGTTCATTTATATTAATCCAACACTGTGTATAGAATCCAAAGTTACGTCATGAAAGTTCACTAAAAAGTTTCTGCTCAGGTCGACAACAGGTCTGAACATTTTTTCGCCTCCCCCCCCCCCCTTATGTTGTTGGTAGGTTGTTGGCATGTAGCTCCTAACAGCTAGTACAACTAAACCGATGTGGGCGTTTTATATTTTGTTAAATAAATAAACTTGAAATAACTTGAACAATCTTCTTTGTGAAGAAAAACTCAATATTACTGTTTATTACGATTTAACTTGAGATGAGATATAGATCTAATAGTAATGAAATAAACTGAGATTTAAACAAAAATCCAGCTCACAGCAAAAAAAAAAAGTCTTAAGATCGTCTCACATTTGCAATAAGTACTTTAATTTCATCATTGTCACTGCATAACCATCTATCAATCGCGTAACCTCTTCTCACCACCGCTGAGGAAACACACACACTCCATAACACCCCTTTTTGTCAGGACCTTGCGTCCTCCCCCGTCTCATAAGAGGAACTTGCGCCCCACCCCCAGTGAAAATATTTTAAAATCTACTTTTTAATTACTGGGTGGGCTATTCGACTCAAAACAAATATTACAAACAAACCGCGTAATCCCGAGCACGCTGCACTATTTTCTTGTATGTAGTTTTCAAAATAGTTTCTATTTCTTATGTACGAATAAAATGTATATTTTCAAAGGATAATGGAATAATAGGAATTTACATAAAATATTTTTAAGTAATTTGTAAAAATTTAACTAAATAAAAAAAAAGTAAACTTGGAATAAGATTTGGCCACCCCCTACAGTCGGCCGCATGCGTGCAATGCACACATTGCACAATAGGTAGCGGCGGCTCTGACTCCATATGACGTCAAAGGAAAAAAATTCCATTACGTCACACGTCCTAAGACTAAAAAATGTCATATATACGAGCAGCTTCTCGAGTGATCATAGACATTGGTGCACCGAGTTTGTTTTTTTAGCATTTCATTTGATGGGCTAGTTAGACTTAATATATGTATATATATAAAAGGATTAAAGGCGCTTTTTTTATTTTGTCTGTCAGTTTGTCTGTCCGTTATGTTAATAGCGAGGAAAAAAAAGACTAAAAGCTATTGAAAATCTGATTAAAATTTAATTTCCCTTCCGAAACATCGCATTAGTTTTAAGTTTCTATGATAGATTGTTCCGGATGTTTATATATTTATAGTGAGAGAAAATAAGAATTCCAGATTGATCAAAATGTTGTTAATTAAATTGTGGGATGGTCTGTTATGAAAATTGTACCATAGCCTTATGGAGATTTTTTCAAACCATACTTTGGTGTTAGGAAGTTGTTTTCCTTAAAAATCGGAGCATAATATTAACGATAATTAGATTTTCTAACGTTTTAGATAGAAAGTTAAAATGTATTGTAAGAGAGAAGTGCGATTTTACATAAATAGAGTTAAACTATTTTTCATTAAAAAATCCGGAACAACCAATTTTCGTAAATGAAAAAAATATTTGTTTTATTTATTAGAAGAGGGATTTCAAACATTTATTAGCGTTATTAGATTTTTCATATGAAATTCGGATCATTTTTGGCGACGATTTGTAAGAAAATTAAGGTAATGTAGTCGATGTCTTTTTCAAAACAAAATCCGGAACATTCTTTACCGATTAAACAACTTTTATTATGTTCCGGCAAGAAAATTAACTGTAAAATAAGTCTAAAAATTGATTTTCAAAAATCGTTTCTAGTAAATTACTTTCTTATTTTAAAATCCTAAATAACCTATTGTCGATATTTTTGAAAAAAATAAAATTATTTGACATAAATTTGTTTTAAATTAAAAATTCGGAACAATTAATATTTATAAATAAACTATAGTAACGTAGTGTCAAAGAATATAATTGTAATATTAGTCAATTATGCGATTTCAAACAATCATTTGACATAATTTATTTTTTATAAAGATCATGTGTTTCTTGCAACGTTTAAGCATGGAAATAAAATCTACTATAAGAAGAGCAAACAAATATTCATTGGCATTGATTTGTTTTTCACAAAACATCCGGAACAATCTATTATAGATACTTTAAACTATTGCAATATTTCTGAATGAAAAATTAAAGGTTAAATCAGATTTACAATAGCCTCTAGTGTTATTTGTTAATTTAATCGTGACAGTCAGACTGACCAACAGACAAAACGCACAACAATAAGCTTCTTTTATTTGGATAGGGGCACTAAACAAAAAATAAATAAAATCTGATTTTTTTAAAAAGTTTAAGGAATTGGTTTACCGCCTTATCATGTTGCGACGTTACGCTACTGCACGAAAGTCGCTGCATAAAAAGTCTATTTTAAAAAATATGCATGATATTTACATACAAAGTGCATTACTAGCCTTTATAAACAAACAGAAATGTTTTCTTTTAATTTTAGCAGCTAGTTTACCAGAAAAAATATCTTTAAGTATTATTTATATTTGTTGTAAACAATTCCTGTACATTTTATAAATATATTTGACTTAGTGATACTGAAAATACACAGACATTGTATATCTTTGTTAGCATATTGTAACATTGCCGCCCTTACATTTACGTAATTGTTTTAGAATTGGTGTATTTTTATGAAAAAATCGCTTGCATAATTAATTTTATAAATTAAACGGTTTGCTTTTAGAAAACCAAAAGTAGCCGTTGCACCTAAACTTTTCAAGCCGCATTTGATGATGAAATAATATTTTTCATATCTCTTCTAGTTTTCGAGATCTGAGTGTGACAGTCGGACAGACGAACAGACGGACAGACAGACAGACGGACATTTTGCACAAACCTAATAGCGGCTTTTTCCCCTTACGGGGGTCGCTAAAAATATTTCCAGATATCTAAGTGGCATCCATTAGTGCACTGTTATATGTGCAACAGGGGCGAACTGGGTGTCTAAATCGGCCCGGGCATTTCTATACCATTCGGCCAATAACTTCTATATCATATAATGGGCATACAATCCTAGTTCTACATGTCCTAAAAATCATTTTGTTAAGTTTGATAATGTATCGATTACTTTACGCGTGTATACAATGAAATCTATATCTTTATAAGAAATATAGGCCTTATGCTGCTTTTTAACTGCTAAGTGTGTAAATGCTAAAAGGATGAAGCTACCTACTAGTAGCAGTGTCTACGATTGTAGACTATTGCTTTATTTCAGAAAATGTGATAGATTAAATTAGCATTACACTGTAGAGTCTGTAAGACAATTATTCTTAAAACAGAATATTATAAAACCTTTAATAATTGAATAGTTTCAAGCTTTCTATAGTGGCATTCATGAGGCCCTTTAGGTTGCCTTACCGGTCCATTTGGGTACCAGCCTACAGGACATCTGCCCAAATGCCCATCTAGGCAGTCCGCCCCTGATGTGGAGGATTTGTGGAATACTAAAAGTAAAACAAATGCTTTAAGGTCATTAAGATTTTCAAGTTTAACATAAACAGAATATTTAAAATACGATTAAAATAATCTTTTTTTTTTTACACGGCATAAATATAGTATGCGTATTATTGAATGACAAGGGAGGGAACCCATTCTCCTCCTGGGAAATGGTGGGTCACAAATATTTACGTAAGAATACCGAGATAAAATTTGTTTCTCTGGCAGGAAATGAAAGTAAATAATGAGTACTCCCTTCGTAAAAAAAAAAAAAATTGAATGATCCATGCGGAGAGGTTCCGAAAAAAAAAAAAACATATTTAAAGATGTAGATTTTTTTTTATGAAAACTAATATTTGTAAAATTATATTGTTTATTATAATTAATAAACGCAATTATATGACTATGAATGGTACGTTTAGTCCAGATGATGTGAAGAAATAAATTCGACTGATGTAAAAATATGCTATTGCTGGAAAGAACAGAGTGAAAGAAGGACATTGACATACTTTATGCTAAAGCCTTCCGGACATGTCCTCTTTTTGCCGGACCTATGGTAACCTTACAAGAGCAGACTAATCCCAATAATTTTAAAAAATCTATTTAAATAAAAAAATAATTTCAAAATTACAATTGAATTTTTATGACAATTTCTCCTTAATTTTTTGTTTTACAACGCTCCAGCCTTTTTTTAAGGCCGCCGGAACATAAATTTTTACTTCGCCGCGGAAACTCCATTCAGAGAGACTTATAGTTTTCTGGGCCGTCAGGGTCATTACATCGTTACTGTACAGTACAGTGGCGTCTCCAAGACAGTTGATAACACTCAGAGCCCTGGAAGAAACACTGTTAGAGACTGGGTAAAAAAAAAGACATCGTGTTAATAGGCGTTAGAGATAAATAAAAAAAAAGAATTCCATTTACATATGGCTAATGTTATTCTCATTATATATATATATATATACATAGAGAGAGAGAGAGAGAAAGAAGAGAAAGAGATAGATAGATTGATAGATAGATAGATAGATAGATAGATAGATAGATAGATAGATAGATAGATAGATAGATAGATAGATAGATAGATAGATAGATAGATAGATAGATATGTAGTGCTTTTTTTGTGACGGTACTCACCGGTACGGTGTACCGGCACCTATTTCAATGTGGGGGGAAAAGTATTGCTTTTCTTGTATTTTAACGTATATTATTAGTTTATAAGCAGTTAGGCAATATCCATCACAGAGTACCGGCACGTATTTTTTTTTACAAAAAAAGCACTGTATATATATATTTATTTATTTATTTATTTATATTGTAATAACCCTGCCCCCACACCGACACTGATGGTGCGCACTAGCACACTGTTCACCGCTCAACACGAGGTATAGACGACAGATCGATGCTAGAATCTAGAGGAAGACTGTTTTAGGTCGGGCGTGATCTGAAGGTTATGGGAGTTTGAGTTGTCTGTGACTAAGAGAAGTCGTTCTTGCTACCAGTGAACTGTAATGAGGACCTGGTGCGACATTATCTTATATTATACAGACGTCACTTTGATAAAATAAGATAATTACGTCCTACGCATTTCATGTGTCAATCTAGTCATACATGTTAATCAATGACTCGAACTATGATAAGTGGTTAGTTTTCTTTGATAACTCAGGCAACCCATTCAATTCTCTAATGGCACTAAGGAAGAACAAGCATCCATCCATCCATCCCAGTGGCGCTACAGCCCATGGAGGGCTCTGGTCTGCTTCAACACATTCTTCCATTCCGATCTCTCCTGGGCCTTTCGTCTCCACGCCCTAACCCCAAGCTGCTTCAGATCTGCTTCCACATCACCAATCCAGGGAAGAACGAGCACTTGGATAAATTTGTTCTAGCATATGGAAAAATATGTAGGTCACAGCTGGAGCTGCGTAGCCACAGGAAATACTGTATTCCTCATTAACCTTCGGAATCGAGAATATATATTATATATATATATCAGAAAAAAAAAATTTAACGTGTCTTTCCTAAGTATAACAGGAATAGTACGTAGCCTAATATTGTGATTTATATAAATAGATGTAATTTTTTTATTATTAAAATTGACATTTTTTATCTATATGTAAATTGTCTTGTCATATTTTTTTTATTCAAAGTCGATTAATTTAACAATTTGATAAAGCGGATACTTGGAAGAGAAAAATATTTTTCTGAATTCTAAGCCTAGAGCAATATTAATAAAACTTTTTTATAAAGTCTGTAAAAAAAATTTTTTTTGTTTACCATGCCTTCATCCAATAAATAGAAACGATTGACTGTTGAGACGCAGCTTAGTAAACTAACTCGCTAAACAAGCAAATTTTTTCTTTTTTAATCCTTTGAAAACAAAAAAAAACAAAAAAACATCCTTTTTAAAAAAAAAAAAACTATGCATACATTAATTGTAGTTCTATCAATTAGTTTTTTTTTTTGTTTTTTGTGTTTTTTTAACAAAGCTTTACGTGTAATTGTATTAATTAGTTTGAATCTCTCGCGTTGGAATCAGCTTTTAGCTTTCTCAATGCGCTATGAACCCTATCACTTGTCTTGACCAACTGCGAAAGGCTGAGGGAAGAATGTGGTATTTTTTGTGAATGTTTAGATGATCATATTTTAAATGCATTTTTAAAAAACTGTTTACTCAGGGCTCAAAGGGACCAATTCAAATTTTACGAACACATCTGTAAGTAAGATTTCTTTCC